TGGATTGGGTTGTAAATTCTATTAGAGTTGCTCAGGTCTGTTACAGCTATAAATATTATACCCTCCCTTTGTAAACTTCACATCTCTGTTTTTCTTCCTTCCAAAACAGAGTCCCGCCGGCCGGAAAAAATGGGTTCTGAAGCAAACTCCGGCGACAGCCACATCCTTATGCTCCCTTTCATGGCTCACGGCCATCTCATCCCCTTCCTCGAACTCGCCAAATTAATCCTTCGTAGATCCTCTGTTTTCACCGTCATCATCGCCTGCACCCCTTCTAACATCCAGTACATCCGCTCCACTGTCTCCGCCGCCGTTAAAATCCAACTGGCGGAGCTCCACTACTCGAGCTCCGGCCACAACCTCCCAGCCAACACCGAGAACACCGAGAATCTCTCTCCAGAACAAATCGTCACTCTGTTAAACTCCTCCACCGCCCTCGAACTCCCCCTCCGGCGACTAATCACCGACATCATCAAAAAAGAAGGCAGGCCGCCGGTGTGTATAATCTCTGACTTGTTCTTTGGTTGGTCGGTTGCCGTCGCGAGAAGCTTTAACGTCCCGATTTTCAATTTCACTACCTGCGGTGCTTATGGTACTCTGGCCTACATCTCTCTCTGGTTGAATCTCCCCCACCGCTCCACCCCCGCGGATGATTTCTCTGTCCCAGGATTCCCAGAAGGCTGCCGTTTCCATCGCTCTCAACTGAACCAGTTCGTACTCGCCGCCGACGGCACCGATTCCTGGTCCAAATTTTTCCAGCCACAACTCTCCTCTGCTTTGTGCTCCGATGGATGGCTCTGTAACACCGTTGAAGAAGTTGAATCTTTCGGATTGAGGCACTTGAGGGATTACATAAAAATCCCCGTCTGGGCAATTGGACCGCTTCTTCCTGAAAGCACCAGCCGCCGGTGGGGGAAAGAGAAAGATTCCGGCGTACATTTGGAAAATTGCATCAATTGGCTGAATTCCCATTCAAAAAATTCGGTTCTGTACATCTCGTTCGGATCTCAGAACACAATCAGCGAGACCCAGATGCTAGAATTGGCGCACGGATTGGAGGAAAGTGGGAAGGCGTTCATATGGATGGTGAGGCCGCCATTGGGGCACGACATGAAAGCAGAGTTCAGAGCCGATGAATGGCTGCCGGAGCGATTCGAGGAACGAATGAAGGAGAGGAATGGAGGATTGTTGATCAGAAATTGGGCACCCCAGTTGGATATTTTGTCGCATGAAGCGGTGGGGGCGTTTTTGAGCCATTGTGGATGGAATTCGATGGTGGAGAGCCTGAGCCAGGGGGTGCCGATGATAGGGTGGCCAATGGCGGCAGAACAGGCGTACAACTCGAAGATGATGGTGGAGGAGATGGGGGTTGGAGTGGAGCTGACAAGGGGAAGAGAGAGAGAGATTCAGAGAGGGAAGGTGAAGAAGATGATAGAAATGGTGATGGGGGAAGGTGGGAAAGGGGAAGAGATGAGGAAGAAGGCCGCCATTGTTAAGGACAAGATGACGGCCGCGGTCAAGGATTATAACGAAAAGGGTTCGTCTGTGAGAAGTTTGGAGGAGTTTCTTGCAATCATTCCAACCATTACGAGCCAAGAAATGAAATTAAAAACGTAACTTTAAGATCAACCTCAATGAATCACGACGTACCTGGCTTCAAACCATTTTTAGCTCTCCGAGCATTGCCATCCAAATGCATTATATTCGTATCATCTAGTTTGATATCATTTCATCTAGTTTTGATAATGAGGTGTATGTAGCAAAGGGCAAGCATCACATCTAATAGATTGAAGCACGAGCTTGTTTCTCTGCATTTTTAACGCTCTTATCGTTTTGTCTCCCCATGTGTCGTGCACACACACCAAAGATTCCACACAACGTCTTATGGGTAGAACTATCTTGAAGGAATAGTCATCACATCAAAACATTGGGTGCAAGAGCTTTCACCGCAGCAGCCAAGGAAAGGTTTACTTACACTTAAGCGAAAGAATAGTCATCACATCAAGACATAAATATATCTATTTGTGCACATGTCAATATTGTACGACCGTATTGTGATCGTTAGAAAAAACATAAAAATATCAAATAGTTGTCATATACGACAAGAATTAGCAATGCAAGTAAGTCCCAAGTGAAGAAATAATGACCCGACCTCATAAGATCAGATCCTAAAGGGACCCGAAAACCCGCTTCAAAAGATACTCAAACCATGTGGCCTAAAGAACAATTTAAGGAGGCCCCTGACAAGTCATAAATTCAAAGGTTACACTCGTAGTCATAACTACCTTCTTCCGTACTTAATAATAGAGCCATTTGTCATCCAACATTTAGGTGAGACATGTGGAACCAAATTTACGGCCTCAAAAGAAAATTGATGGAAAGATGCCAAGCGAGCATCTCTCCCTAGATAGGCCTACTAAAAAGGCATTCAAAATACAAGTGATCGCAATAGTCATATGCTCTATTACAAAGCCTACAAACTTCATGACTAGGCTATTCCAACAATAGAGACAACATATCCCGAACAGCTAGCCACATCATAAAGGATTGTTCGGGGATGCTGGGTCCTAGGACACAACGAATCGTAAGCACTAGTCACAAAAAACACAAACCTAGACGATTTTAACAAAACCAACGATTGACACGTGCATCACAAGAATACAAATACATTTGAGAGAAGGAACTCAAACACCATTCCATTACGTTGTCCACCTAGATATTTACGTGGCTTGCCAGGTGGGAAAAAGATGTCCTTTCCCCTCCATTTCACTCACGAGCCACCAAAATAGTCAATCCCAATCAACCTCAATCTGCTTCTTCAATAAGGAAGGGTCACGTCGCAAATGAAATCGTCCATACCATGGCACCCCTAATGCTGCACAACAGCGGGTATGGACCCCTACTTCTTCCACCCCTAATGCAGCACAACAGTGCTACTTCTTCCATCTATGATAATATATTGTAACGATGGTGTTCGAGTTCGAACTTGCCCAAAATCATTTGTAGCAGGTTGTTCGCTTGTGAAGCAAGGGTCATCACAGTGTGGGTTGGGTCTTTTTCGTCACATGCCTTCGCTCATGAAAGTCGATTGGATGGACACCTCATGTGGTTGTAGAAAGACAGAAAGCCCACTAGGACAAATTTTTTTTCACACTCAGCAAGCCACATAAGCAGTTAAAAGTCCAGTCAGCTTTCTGTTTGTTTCTGATAGTTCCTATTGGTGGTGAATCTTCAAGGACTAACACACTTTATGTTCATAACTAATGGACTAAAAAGTGAACTTTTCAAATACTTCTGATAAGAGTTAGATTATTTATTGGATCGACAGACATCTACTTCCAGCACTAAGACGATTATATGAGTGATGTAATGGAAGATTAAAGAATGTATAGAACAGCATCCATCTAAGATTTCACATAGCTGAGTTCAAGAAAAGCAAGACCATTTTCCATTTATATTTTGGAACTACAAGCAAAACTATAACAATAGGACTCTACGCTGATGTTGCAAAATTTGGTACAACCCAACCAAAATGGCCATATTGCAGTGGAGAGGGGAAAAATGATGATGACAAATTAATTTGTTGGAATTCCTTAACTCAAGGGATACATTAACAACAGGGATGGTCCAACCAAGTCTAACTCTAAAAAGAACTCGGACTTAGTTGGTAACTTATTTGCCTGGACTGGTAACTTCTTTTTTCCTTCGCGTACGAGATGGTTGTAAAGGTCCGAAGAGGCAAATTCGCAGCCCACCCTCGACGACTCGCTGGTGTAAGTAGCTCTTGTATAAATCCCAGAATTCATCCCTGCAATATGAGTTGTTTTAGTAAGAGATGTCTCAAGAGATAGATTATGGGTTTTCGGAGTTTCACAACTTGAGTTTTCTTCGTATTTAACCAAAAAAATCTATGAAATTGCATTTTCATAATCCAAAGGCATGGAACAAAAGATATGAAAGAATACTAGGTGAGATTGAGACAAATAAATGATGTTCAAACCTGACTTGTGGAAGCGAAAATAAAGAATAGCCCTTAACATCCGGTTGAATGTCGAGCACGATAACTGCTAATCTTGAAAGCCCCAAGGCCTCGATATCAATCAGTTTTTTAATCCTAAAATTGAACAGAAGAAAATGAGACAAAGAAAAAATCAGTTGAACACTTAACAAAATTGAGAATGAAAGGAAAGAAAATATTGAACTCTGTATATAAATGCAATCGGTGATAAATCCAGGAAGGTTGGAGACTTTCAACATTTATTACTCTTGACAATACACCGGCACTCTTTTAACAGAAATGAGGACCTAGAACTGGAACTCTTGAACCCATGGTGATATATCAAATATTGAAAGCTAACCTGCTTGGTGTACCACTCGCTATGTTAACACGGTTCTTCAGCAGTTCTACCTGCACCCACCACAAAGGGAAAAACAATAACAGTACAGCAGAAATGAGGATTTGAGAGTGAACCAAATCATGACATATCACAGACAACTGATGTTATATTGAGAGTTGAGCTGAACATTTCATATAAATAACATAACTGTGCATAAATTGGACAAGTGTTTTGAAAGTCACACCCAGGTGCACGCCTAGATCAAAGGCTCAACTGTGGCACCTCACCTCACAGAAGCAAGGCACAGCTAGGAAAGCACAGCCTGAAACACAGAGATGCGCACTAAACAAGCTCTCCTTTTGTTTTTTACCAAAAAAAAAACTGTGAACCTAAACAGGAGGCTTAGATTATAATTTTATAAAAGATTAATTTTTAAACCCAAATAAGCCATTTAGGGTTTTAAAAAAAAAAAAAACACAAGCATGACAGCTTGAAAGCCTAGAAGGTCATTGCACCATAGCGCACCTCAGAATTTACAAAAGCACTAATTTGGACGTAGAAAATCAAAAGAATAGTAGAAAAAAATTAAAGCTTCGAAAGCAGTAAAAGTTGTAAAAGTTTGTGCTAAGAGTTTGGAAGGGAATGTTAATCTATCATTGAGAAAATGGGATCAGACTGACGTGCAAATAACAAGATCAACATAGCCACAGCCTCAGAAATATTTTTCTGGATTGTCATCATTTCCCAAACCCAATAAAGTAAATACATTTTAAGGAGTTTTTCCCATTTGTTCCATCTACCAATATGTTTACAATTATCATCCCACTTTGTATAGTTTTGATATACGACAAGCATGCATTACATAAAGGGGACCATACAGTTTTAAACATTACTACAAAATGAAATAAATAGCAAGCATGTGTTACTCCTATATCTGAATCACCTAAAAGAAAAAAGGGCATAGAAAGAATCTTATAACTACCTGTTCCTCAATTTTCATGTGCTTCGAGAAAAGCTTAACAGCATGGCATTCTTGAGTTAGCGACCGAAAACCCCTGATGAATGTAAATCAACGAGTTATACAAAATCAGACACTTAATTCCATATATTTCAAACCAGCAGAAAAGCAGTCACCATCTTACTTTAAAAGTTCAATCGCCCTAATTGCAGATGTGCTGATTATAAGGACAGCAGGACTGCCCGGAGCAGTCTCTCCCTCCAAGAGTTTCCCTTTACAAAGAACTTCTTTCCACGATGATCCAAAAGCTTCCTTAATATGTTTAACCAAGGTTTTTTCATCCTGAATTGAACTTTGTGGAGGACCCAGAATGCACCTACCTAAAAAATTCTCCAGTCATTATAAAGAACAGACAAATTCTCACGCAATACAGAAAAAAAGGCAAACACTTCCTCTTTTTCAACCATACTTACAAGACCATATAACAAAACCGGCTAATTAGAACACCAACAACAATTAAACACTCCAAAAGATTTTACATTCTTTCCACTTAATTAATTGAGTAAACCCATAAAACTAAAATTCTTTTAACAATTATCACCATCAGCACACCAAATTCACAACTCCAAAACTCTTCTGGCAAATACAGATAAGACCAAGAAAGACTTCTACCACAAACACGCGCGCGCGCGCGCGAAAAAAGGAGTAATGCTCCAAATTAGTAAACTACCTTTCATGGAGTCAAGCTCCAGCGAAGAGACTTGAACGTCATTAGCCGTCTGGAACTCATCCAAAAAAAAGCTGAATGGCTCCAATGGAAGCGCCTCCAATGCACTGCTTTCACTACCATTTGTGGCATTTTGCGCATCAGTATTAAGGGTAGGATCGGACTTCCTCTTCTTGGCGCTCTTAGGCTTGGTGTGGAGCTTGTTTGAAGGCCGCTGTTTGCGCTTCTTTCTAGGGTTTCGAAGAGAAGCTTCAGAAGCCTTGTCTGAATTTCCGAAACCCCCCATGGTTTCTAGGGTTTTAGAGGTTGAATGGAATGCCCTAATTATAGGCAGGGACGACAGCTGAAGAACAAATTGAGAAGCTTTTTTATGGGCTTTTATGGACCGAATGGATAATAGTCAGGCCCACTTAAATAGCCCAAACCCGACTTACTAGGAATTGCATTTAATGTTTTTAATTATTTCCACCAACATATTTAAAAAAATAATAATAACAATTACAAAAATTTATTATTCAGAACTAACTAATTTATTTTTAATATATATATATATATATATATATATATATATATATATATTTATTTATTTATATTAAAGGAATAATTAGCTAGAGAAAGACAAAAAAAATATAATATTGTCTTAAATAATTAGTAATCTTGTCTCCTATTCTATTTATATAAAAAAAAATATTTAAATTTAGTCTAAAAAAACAAAATTTGAAAATAAAAAGGAAAAAAAAGAACCAATTGAAATAAAAAAAAATTAAATAGAACAAAATTTGAAATATAAGGATTAAAATGATATTTTTAATAAAATAATTTTGAAAAATTAGAGAAAAGCTCTTCGTCATGATGATTCATCGATGACGTCATATTCAACCAAATAAATAAAAAGTCTAAAAAAAAAGAGAAATCCAAGTCTGAATTTTCCAACGATTTCAAACCCAAATCCCCAAATTACCCTTTTCATTTCGGTATATATATATAAATTTCAATTCTCTATCATAATCCCAATTCAGTTCATCAATTTCCTTTTTCAGTTCCTTCCATTTTCAGACTCCCGCCATTATTTCTCCCAGATTTTTCGTCCCCGCCGCCGCTTCCTCCGCCATTAGTTCATCCACTATGTCCAGTTCCAGTCATTCTCCGTCCGCCTTCGACAGACCTCGCTCCGTCATCAAGAAGATTCTTGCTAAACTCCAGAACGAAGGCGACGGCGCCGTCGTTCGTCGAGGCATCGGAAGGTCTCTTTCTTCTTCTTCTTTTTGTTTATGTTTTCTGCTCTTCTTCTCCGCCGCCACTGATTTTATCTTCTGATCTTTGATTTAGGAATGATTTGAAGAATCTGGATCCATTTCTCATGCTCGATGATTTCTCTGGTAACCGAATCGCAATCCGATTGTTGTTTTGCTTCTTTTGATTTCGTTTTTTCAGTTTCTTCTTATTTCTCTATCTACGAATTGAATTTTTTCCAATTGTTTCATTCATTGCAGTCACTCCACCGGCTGGATTCCCCGATCATCCTCACAGAGGTTCGTTCCTTAAAATTGAATTTTCGTTCTTCAACAACGGAACTGTTCTACGGATTCAACTTTTCTAATTTGCTGGATACTTCGTTTTAATTTGTGATCCTGTTTAATTAAATTAATATGTTAATAGAGGTTAGAAGTAGCAGTACTCGTAAATTGTAAAATTATTCAGAGAAATGATGAACATGATATGCTGTATATATTTCATACTTTTTTGAGCGTTGCTGTTATAATGTTTTTTTCTTCAAATTCTGATGTCAAATTTCTTTTTCTTTCAGGTTTTGAGACAGTGACGTATATGTTACAAGTAAATTCTCTAATTTCTGTGATGAAAGGAATAAACTGTAGACTGGGGACAAATTTTCAATTATTTTTATGTATTTATTTATTTGTGGATTATTTTAGGGAGGGATTACCCATCAAGATTTTGCTGGCCACAAGGGTACAATTAGAACAGGGGATGTCCAGGTAAATAAACAATTTCAAAAAGAAGTTCAATGACGCAATAAATAAATTAAATAACATATTGAGATTTGGTTTTGGGGCACAGTGGATGACAGCGGGACGAGGTATAGTCCATTCTGAAATGCCTGCTGGTGCAGGTTCTCAAAAGGGCTTGCAGCTTTGGATCAATCTTGCATCCCGTGACAAAATGTAGCTCTTTTTCCTTCATTGTATTGGTAGAATGTAGATTCGAAAATGTATTCAAAGTCTGTTAAATTAATGAATGTCATTAGGATGAAGCCAAGGTATCAGGAGATCCCAAGCGACAACATTCCGAGAGCGGAGAAAGACGGTGTGGAAGTTCGTGTCATAGCAGGCGAGTCCATGGGAGTCCGTTCTCCAATCTACACTCAAACGCCAACTATGTACCTCGACTTCACTTTGAAACCAAGAGCTCAAGTGCATCAAAGCATCCCAGACACATGGACCTCTTTCGTGTACATAATCGACGGTGAAGGAGTGTTCGGGTCCCCGAACTCGTCCCCGGTGGCTGCTCACCATGTCCTAGTATTGGGAGGTGGAAATGGGGTAAGTGTGTGGAACAAATCTTCAAAGCCATTGAGGTTTGTTCTGATTGCAGGGAAGCCTCTGAATGAACCAATTGTTCAATATGGACCGTTTGTGATGAACTCGCAATCTGAAATTGCACAAGCAATTGAGGACTACCGCTATGCCAAAAATGGGTTTGAAATGGCGAAGTATTGGAGATCTCAGTGATTGGAAAACCAAAACCCAAAAACAAGAAACAAAGGAAGGAACAAAATATCAAAGTGGTAGCTGAAAAGGAAGATAATTACATTTTAAGAAAAGGAAAAGCTTCTAGAAAACCAAGAATGGTCATCATTCAAGTCAAAGTTTATGTTTTTAATTATTTTGTTTTTATTCTGTTCAATTTTTTAATTTCGTCTTTTTCTTCAGTTTTTTTGTACATGGATGTTATGCTCATTACTTGACTTGAAATAGTTTTTGTTTATTATTTGAGAGTCAAAATAGTTCATAGATTATAGAAAATCGACAAAATGCATCATCATACTAAATTGACAACGGAATTACATCTTTTCGATAACTTAACTTTAATAAAGCCTCAAATCATCCATTTCAATTCTATTATAGAAAGATAATGTCTGAAACAAAACAAAAAAAAAAAAACTTTTAAAATTTTTTATTTAAAAAAAAAATACTCTGGAGATACATATTATTCAAAAATATCTTTTAAATTAATCTAATCTATACATTAAAGTTTAGAAAAAAGAAACCTATTGATCATTTAAAATTATTCAATAAACATACATGATTTTATGTAAATTTTTAAGAGATGGCCGATACAAAATTGTTACAAAAAAAATACCTTTAATCATAAAGTTCCTATGCTTGAACTACCAAAAAAAGAAGGTATACCTTAAAAATACCTTTAATCATAAAGTTCCTAGGCTTGAACTACCAAAAAAAGAAGGTATACCTTATTAATATAGATAGTAACCTTCAATTATTTTAAGTTTTTCTTAGTAATTATGATTTTAATTCATTTATACACTTTTGTAGGCTACCGAACCATCAACTAATAAAAAAACAACAATTTTGATTTATGATTATGATTGTGATGAACATTGGTTGGGAGGAGAACAAACCACCATTTATAAAGGTATGGAAACTTCCCCGTTTAAAAGTCTTGAGAGAAAGCCCGAAAGGAAAAGCCAGAACAATATCTGCTAACGGTGAATCTGGGGCGTTACAAATAGTGGTGTTTTCATTCTTGAGAATTATTTTGTCACCTTCAATTGTTCATGTCATTTACACAATATTACTAAATGAAAGAAAGAAAGAAGAAGAAGAAGAAGAAAAAAAAAGAAGCAATAATTAGAACTTCTGAACATGGAAGATCCTATCGATCATGATTCACTTTACAAACTTAATAAATCTGTTCATATTTGCTCCAAATAATAATAATTAATACAAAAATGTTTCTTCTTGTCTTTAATTAAATTCAAATAAATAATTTCATTTCTATATATGGAAATGGTCGGTCTAACATTGCATTGGAGGAGCTTTTAGAGAAGCTATAATAATGGAAACAAACATAGAAAAACAACCAATTTGAATCACCACACCAGCAAAACAAGACAGAAGAAACTAAGCACAACCCAACATGAAGAGATGAAGATCACCTGGAACAGCAAGACAAATAGCTTTCTGATTGCTTCGATCCACCGTCCTTGACGAGGCTCACCCGGTTGACCGATAATTCTGCTTTGTAGGTATCTGAGTTCAGGACCTTCCTGCTCACATTGTTGTATATTTCTCGGATCACGATCTCGAAAGCCTTTTTAACATTCGTTGAGTCTAAAGCAGATGTTTCCATGAAGAAGAACCCTTCGGCTTCTGCAAGACTCGTGCCTTCCTCGACAGTCACGTCCCTAATGTTCTCCAAGTCGCATTTGTTTCCAACTAGCATCCTGGCCACTGTGGTATCGGAATGAGCTGCATAATGATTCGAATCAAAACTCTGATCATTTAAGCAACTTGATAGCATAAATTCATCATTAAAAATGGGAAAGAACAACAACTCTAAGAAATATACAGTGGAACAGACATAGATAACTTTGTGCCCACTATATCACAGTCGGGTCATCTACAGGACCAATTACCATCCTAAAAGTTGATGGTTCGACCCATCTCTCTTATCATGAGATGTTATTTTCACGATACTACAAACTCGCTTCACCACAATGGGAAACAGTAAATTTGATTCTCGGATGAAAATTTGCATCAAATTCATATCTACCCAAGGTCTGCATCACCAACTATCCACCGATTCCATAAACCAAGATTTATGTTAAATACAATAGAAAGTGTCAAGAGTTTAGGGAGGAAACCAAATATTTCAAAAGTACAAGGACCCAAGAGAGCAAGTGTCGAGTTTAGGGTTCAAAATAGGATTTAAACCAGCATGTTTTCAACTACAAGGTGAGGCTATGAGGGGATAGCATCATTAACAGCATTGAGTAATTTCATTTCCATGAAAGGAACTGAACTTTCGATCAAAATGGCATACTCAAAGCAACTGAAAATTTTAATATAATCAGTCATATAGGAATGGATACATCTAAATTATGAGCATTACTCAAAGGACGTCTAAACCAGAAGTTCGATAAGATCTCAAGTGACACAGTACAGATTCATTGATCCATCTGAAAAGCCAAATAGGTGAAACATGAGTTGGTAAGTTCTACATATTGATTTTAATCAGCTATGCTAAGAAGTAGTTTTTTGGCATTGAATTGTGAGTTGCCGACACCAACATTTGAAACTCGAGAGAATCAAAGCCTGAAAATGTGAGAGTAATTTGAAATCTGAGAACGAAAGATAGATATTTCCGATTACAGTTTTGAAAGCAATACCGAATTGGATGCTAATAAGTGTAATTTTCAGGGGAAATGAAGAACCTAAATCCGACAAACAGAAATTCATTACAAAGTCGGAAGTAATTCTACAGAGAAAATACGATACAGGACTAGATCTGGATTATTGCAAAGTTTAAGAATCAAGACATTCAATCTCTTTCATATGATGAAGTTAGTCCAAGTAATTGAACAAAATCTTTTAGAGGATGTTGCGAGCCTAGGTCAATTTAGAAAAAAATACCGCAGCGAACAGGAAATGAAATCACTCCCAACAAAATTCGAAAAAGAGAAGAGTTCAGATCTATACATCTCAACTAAAATGGCAGAGTAAGAACAACATCAAAAGAAAAAGCTAAGTCTGAGTCAGGCACTCACTCTTGAGCTCGTCGAGCCATCGGCCGACACTATCGAAAGTGGAACGGCGGCTAATATCGTAAACGATGAGAGCACCGACGGCGCCGCGGTAATAGGCAGAGGTGACGGCGCGAAACCGTTCCTGGCCGGCAGTATCCCAAATCTGAGCCTTAACCTCTTTGCCATCAATATCCATAACCTGAGTCTGGAATTCAACGCCGATGGTGGCCTTGGAATGGAGATTGAACTCGTTTCTAGCATAACGAGACAACAAATTGGATTTACCGACCGCCGAGTCTCCGATGATGACGATCTTGAAGAGATACTCCTCACCTCCTTCATCGTCCGACGACGACATTGCCTAGGTTCCGATTGTGCGCGTTTGTCCCTCTCTGTTTCTTCTGATTCCTTCTAGGGATTCGGAGGTTCGATTATCGAGATTGTGGTAGGAAGGAAGGAAGAGGATGGACTTGGGAAGATGTGACAACAAGCTTTTAGAGAGAGAACAAGAAGAGCAATAATGGAATGGAATGGCGGAGGTTGAAGAAGCAGAGCTGGCAGAGAGACAAACTGCGTATGTAGCGCTAGTGGTAGTGCCTTCCCTCCACCATCTCTTTCAGATTATATTTATATATATATATATATGTATGTATGTATGTGTAGATGTATGTATGTATGTGTATATGTATGTATGTATGTATGTGTATATGTATATATGTATGTGTGTATATATGTATATATGTATGTGTGTATATATGTATGTATGTATATGTATGTATGTATGTATGTGTGTGTGTATATATGTATGTATGTATGTATGTGTGTGTGTATATGTATGTATGTATGTGTGTGTGTGTATATGTATGTATGTATGTATGTGTATGTATAAAATATTGGACAATTTTCAATTATTTTAGTAATTTTTTTCTCTTAAATTTTAAATTTTATTTAGAAATGTGGAGAATAATAAAATAGAAATTGTATTAAATATGGAGAATAATAATATTAAATATGTATTATTAATTTTTATTTTTTGTTTTAAAATAACAAGAAATTAAATAATTTCAAAGATGGTTTTTTTTTTTTAAATGAAACTCTTCATTTTTCAAATAAAAAAAATTAAGAAAGTATTAAAATTTTTAAAAAATAAAAACTTATATAATTAACTGGAAAAATAAATAAATTTGCATTTCCTCCTGATCTAAACATTCTCTTCAAAACAATCGACCATGAACATGAATTAAAATGAAAAAAAAAATCGAAGAAATAAAAAATAATAATAATAAATTTAAGACAATCAACGAGCTTAAATAATTATAAGAGAGACAAAGGTAGGTTTGTCTACCATCAGAACGATAATGTAACGAAAATAAAAAACTAAACATAAGAATGGGTATGTCGTTAACATTCCAACACGGAGTTTATAAGCTCAAGTTTTTAAACTCCATTAAACGCTTTCGTAAACTAAATTTATGAACTAAATATTCTCGAAAAGACAATCAATAATTGAATGAAAATAGCGCGAGTCAAAATTATTTTACAATGAAAAATTAAGCTTACGATTCCAATTAAAATTTGAGACCTACTTTGCTTTATGTACAAACAAATGCCCTTATGTTTTTTTTTTTTTTTTTTTTTTTTTTTTTTTTTTTTTTTTTTTTTTTTTTTTTTTTTTTTTTTTTTTTTTTTTTTTTTTTTTTTTTTTTTTTTTTTTTTTTTTTTTTTTTTTTTTTTTTTTTTTTTTTTTTTTTTTTGGGTTAGTGGGAAGAACAAAATTAAAAAAAAAAAAAAAAAGGGCAAAATTTGAGGTACCATTCATTCCAACTCTCAATATTCCAAATGTTATAAGCATTCTTTGTTTCCACAGGTGCAACTCTCAGCTTCTTTGTTAAGCATCTGAAAAAACAACAAAAATCAAAACTCGAATATTAAATATTATACATATTTTATCGAACGAACTGATTATAGTTCATAAAAACTGTATAAGGATTTAGGGTTCTAACTCAGCTCAACCCACTTCTCGTTTTAACGAAAAAATGGTAGGATATTGTAATGATCTATGCCTCAGATTTGAGGCATAATGACCCCGACATTCCCATACAACGTGGTCACGTTA